AGTCTGAGTCTGAGTCTGAGTCTGAGTCGCGACGCTCCTGCAGCGCGACATGGCGGCCAAGATGGCGGCACCTACCACGTTCCTGATGCGAGGTAGCAAGCAACCTGCACCAATAGGCGTCCGGCCGCTGCTTCCGCCCCCTTTTATAGCCCGCCAAGCCGGAAGGAAACAATCAGGGCGAGCTATGTCATCCCGCGCTTTCTACTGGTGGGATCGTCTCATCCAGCCCCCAGGGCATTGCTATTGGGTGGTCTGTTAAGGCTGAGCCAATCACCTGGCAGCTCCCGCCCCTCCCCCTGCCCCTCCCTCGCCGTGCGGGGTCTCTGCCCCGCTGAAAGCCGGGGCTGGCTGCGGCCTGGAGACAGCAGCCTGGGAAGTAATAGAGTGGCTACTGTCAAGGTGGTGCACGCGGTGGCTGGCAGTGTCAATGATCCTGTGCGCTATGCTGATGGAAGTGCAAAGCCTTAGAACCAGGCAGCCCAAAGAGCAGTAACCAGGTGGAAGATGGTCCACTGATCTGCCAGGCTCGCAGCGGGCCCCAAACCTGGCCTCGCCAGCACAAGTTGGAGATGCAACAAGGGAGGCATCTTGGTAGAGGCTTCTTCCTGCCCCCCCCCTGCTGCCTGCGAGCGTTGGAAGGATTCAGACTGCAGCAGGCACCTAGGGCTGGACTGTTGGGGTTTGCCAGCCAGACCTACAGCTATATGTTCCCATCTGAACCAATGAACTTTATTTCTGTAATTGAGCTTAGCAACAGCTATGCATGAGCTTTGGTTGTAAGCAGGACTAATACAGGGGGTGCAACCTCATGCTGTGACTTGTCACCAGTTCTGTTCTCCTGCAATGAATTTGCCAAGATCTTATCATTTGAGAGAGGAACAAAATCAATATGGAAGTACACTAGCAGTGCACGGTGACTTCTGGAAAAAATACAATACACAAACATTTCTTCAACGTTTAATTGTTTGCCATGTTCGTGGCAACAAAGGACAGTTAAGTAGTTTTAGTTTAAATCTACTTACCAAATACACACTAGCACTTTCTAACTATTCTACAGATGGGAGTTTAGCACTGAGCCTTTCTCTATGCAGCTTGAGGGCATGTTTTTGGCAGGTGTTTCCGGTGGAGAAAGAAAACATATCTCTGTGGTTAAGCTGCTGAGTTTACTGTACTTCAATGTATTCACCAATCAGCTCGGAGTGCATGAAGCTTAACCACGTTATCTGGGGCCTATGTGAAAAACCCCAGAGCACGTAAAATATAGTAACGCTGAGCTATAATTCTTTTATACAAACACAGAATTTTTTTAAGTTACTTAAAGAAGATAGTAGTAGATTTAAAATGCAAATCACTCTCAGTTTTCCTACTATAATACACACAGATTTGAGGCAAATGAAAATGTGTTAGCACCGCTCCAGTGAACCTAACAAACACCAGAAAAACAACAAATTTACTTTGCCCTTTTGTGGTGCCCTCCAGTTAAACTCATCACCATACAGAATGGGTGTCAACACCCAGTCAGGCAGGCAGGTATTGCTGCCCCCATTTTAAGCTGAGAAAACTGAGGCACATTGAAAATAAGTGATTTGCTAAACGCCGCACAGGAATTCTGCAATTGAAACATGACTAGAATGTGGTTCTGATCCTGGTCTCAGTTATGCCAGTTTTCCTTCAGTGTAGCTCTACTGGCCTCCATTGGGTAGAAAAGTTATGTCTAATATATTCCAAATTAAATTAACTAGTCTAAACTAACTAATTAGATTCCAATTAGATTAACTAAGGGATTTATTTTAAAGACCCCTGCTCACCTTTCTTGTCTCATCCTGCTATTTCCTAGCTTAGTAAAATTCTGAGTGAAACATAATGGTGGCCTTTGCCAAAGGGAACATGACACATTTTTCCCAGTAACATGGGGGTGTCGATCTGATGTGAACACACCTTGCTCTCCCACATCTGACTCCAAAAGAGAACAAGTAGAGGATGGGAACATGTTCTGTCCACAGGTGGTCTCAGACCAGCCATTGGGTCCCTGACTGTTGTTCCTGATGTCCCTGTTCCCAGTATCATTGTAGTCCTTATATCACCTGGCTCAGGAGGTGATATCAAAATGAAGGGACAGAGATTGGAAATCAGAAAAAAATCTTTTAAAAATAAACAAGCATTATTATTAAAAATAACCTCAAAGAGATGGAGGCAACTTTGAGTACCACTAAAATGCTTAACTATATCGAAAGTGTTGTATTGACACTTTAGTCAATCCCACACATCCCATGTACCCCACACATTAAAATGAACTAAAACAGTGGTGGCCAACCTTTTTTGCCCCCTGAGCCAGATGGGCAGTACCAGGTCCAGCTGCGGCCCAAATCTGGCTGGTGGGCTTGATCAAGCTGGCATGTGAGGCTAGCAGAGGAGCCTCATCCTGCCATGGGTAAGTACACAGCCTAACCCTGATCCATCTGCTGGGGAGGGGCACAGGGGCAGGGAGCAGCCCAATCTCTATCTGGATGCATGTGGGAGTGGAGGAATGACAGGGTGCTGCAGCCCAGATCTGGACCCTTAGGGGAGTCAGGGTAGTGGGCCAGGGTGGCCTCAATCCATATGTACCAGGGTGTGAAGTGAGGGGAGTAACCCAGCCCTGATCCAAATGCTGGGGGGTGGATAGGGTAGAGTGGCCCCTATCCACATGCATGGCAGGAGTGGAGAGCAGTCTGGCCTAATCTGGACAAGCAGGGGGCCAGGCCAGACTTGATGCCACTGCGGCAATGGTCCAGGCAAAGCTAGACAGTGCCGCACAGAGCTTCCCCACTCCCCTAGTGCCAGTTTTTTCTGACCTGTGGGGATCCCTGTGGGCTGGATGTCATGGCTCCGTAGGCTATATTTGGCCTTCAGGCTGGAGGTTGAGCACTCTTGCTCTTAAATGATTATGCACTAATGCTGAAGTAAAAATCCAATGAATGCCCTTGGTCTCTAGCTATAGGGAAAGTACAGTCTGATATAAGATGTCCAAATTATCCCATGGGTATGTTTTTTTATTTGTGCCAGTGCTACAGACTTGGGGACAAAAATGACTTCAATATACTTTTATTGAAGTATAGTTTGAAAAATGGCTTCAAACTATACCAAATCAATGGTACTTGTTTTCCACAAAGACCAAGGTTCGTTTATAATCTCTGAACAGAGGGCAGGGAAGTACAGTAATAACTGTAGTTTTATCTTCCTCTTCCCCCTCAGTGGAAGCAAATAGTAGCTTGTTTATCTTCCTATTTTTCTTGTTTAAGGATGAGGGGCTAAGTCCAAAAGAGGAATGTAGGTCCTTAAAGTATGAACTTAGGTGCCCATATTCAAAACCGCAGTCCTGAAAAACTAAACTCAGCTGCTACCCAAACCCGAAGGAGTCTCAGACTCATAGGTACTACAGTTTGTGACCTTAAAGTTCCAAGGCATTTGTGATTTCTGCTTCTGCATGGGCACAGAAACACTTCAGCAGCTCAGCATGTAGCTCATGCCTCAGTCTTGGTCAGGATCTGAAACCAGGTGTTCCCCTGCCTTGGTTCTCTGATGGGCATTATGCAGGGGTATTTTCAGAACACCCTTAACAAACACTAAGACAAATGGCACCTTGAAATGTGCTATTGATTCTCCTGCCCCCCATATGTTAAAATATGAGGAGAGAAGGAGTCAGCAACACCTCCCTTCTTCTATATAATAACCTAATCAATGTAGCATTTGCCTAGGGAGCAAGAGAGGGCAGGGTTCAGGTTTTTCATCTACTTGGGTGAATTCAAACCCATATCATCCACCTCTTTGGAGGGTGCCCTAACCACGAGAACAATGCCCTAACTGTTCTGAATTGCGAATGAGGCACTCCATTCATCCTGTTGAAATTAGGCAGAAAATAATTCAAGGTTCATTGAGTTAAAGAGAAAGAGACATGACTCTGTAGACCAGTAATTAGTGCACTTCTTTTCCAGGGAGAGTTTTCAGCTTTGAGCCCTGCTGTCAAGGTATATTACTGTTTTGTTTTGTTTTGTGTTGTGTTGTTTGGTTTTGCTTTGTTTGTGGG